CCCTTCATCAGAAAAGCTTTTCTGATGAAGGGTCTAGGCCCGAAACGTCAGCCTCTCTGCTCCTATGATGCTGCTTGGCCTGCTGTGTTCATCCAGCTCTGCACCTTGTTGTCTCGGATTCTCCAGCATCTGCAGTTCCTACTATCTCTACCTCCACTGACTGTTGAGGCAGAAAGTTCCAAAGTCACACAATCTTCAAAGGGGGGAAAAAAAAAATTCTCTTCACCTCTGTCCTGACAGGATGAACCCTAAATTTGGAACAACAACACGTAGTTCTAGACTGATCCATGAGAAGAAACATCTTTCCATATTGACTTTGTCAAGACTTCAGGACCTTTTATATATTTCAATCAAGTCACTTCTCACTCTTCTAATCTCCAGCGGAAGCAAGCCCAACCCCTCCAACCTATCCTCAAGACAATGCACTGAAGTCCTTATGAACTTGGTTTGCTTAATCTGTGCAAGGGTTCCCACCTGCATTCTGAGTGATGAACAATAGGATCCACGTTTTCCCTGCTTGAGGTGCAAGACTAGCTTCCTTTTCTCCTGTTCGGTCTTCTCTCTCCCTCTCAAATTCTTCCAGACAGACTTGGATTTGTGATGTTCAATGAAATTTTAGTAGCCCAATAATTCAGTGGCGTTCTATTGACTCTTCAGCTCTCCAAGCCCAATTCCATGGCAAAGTGAATCGTATGTGGGCCTACAATCAAGATAGGAATGTTAATTAGCTTATCCTATCGACCGCAAATCCATTCTGTCTTGAAATTCAGTAGGCATTTTTAAGTACGTCAACTTATAAATCCTGACATTGTTAATACCTCATGAGACTATCAGTCTACCTGCAGTCAGCGCAGAGTTCCTATTATTACTGTGAACATTGGGCATCTTCTCACAAAGTTCTTGACTTGGGACCTCTCTTGTCCTCCTAAAGATCAAGCCACATACGCTTGTCAGGTGGGAATTCTGAGCCGGTCAAAAAAATGCGCTTCGTGTTTCTCCATTTTACCCTAAATTATAGAGACAGTCCCAGAGATCGTAATCTCATTAATTTGGCTATTGTAACAACTATAACTAAATTATTCACTCCACTAAGGAAAAACTAGACATTTATTTTGATATTGTAAGCAGATGCCTTCTCCTAAAGTGAACTCATCAATCAGCGTCCATCTTTTGGTTAGCACCTTTTAGAGGGGAAAACATTTCCTGTCTGAGACTGGGGGTGGGGGCAGACTGCAACTTTGCAACATTTGATTTTGTTTGTGTGAAAATCAGTGACCTGAAGAACTCGGATTGTATTATTGTCTAATATAGATGAATCAAAGATTCAAAGTCCCGCATTAGAGATTAATGTCTAAAATTAAAGTGCATTGGTTTAGGGGTACTGTATTGAGATTTTGATGAATTATTGAGATAATTGCTTACACAGGAAACAAATAGTAGGAATAAATGGGTCTTATTCTGAATTGCAGGCAATGACTAGTGGGGTACCAGTACGAGGGATCAGTACTAGCACCCCAGCTATTCACAATATCTGTGAATGATTTAGATGAGGGAACTCAAAATTTGCAGACGAGACAAAACTGGGTGGAAGGTTGAGCTGTGAGGACCAGAGATATAGCAGTGTGATTTGCACAGGCTGAGTGGGCAAATGTATAGCAAATGCAGTACTCTGCTTTGGTAGTAAAATTAGGAAGGCAGATTATTATTTGAATGGCTGTAAATTGAGAGGGGAAATGTTAATGAGATCTGGGTGTTTTCATGCATCAGTTGCTGAAAGTAAGTGCACAGGCACAGCAGGTAGTAAAGAAGGTAAGTTGTTTGTTGGGCATCGTGTCGAGACGATACAAGTACAGGAGCAAGGATGTCTTGCTGCGATTACAGGGCATTGGTGAGACCACACCTGGAACATTATGTACGGTTTTGGTCTCTTTTATCTCCTTGTTACAGACAAACTGCAGCAAAGGTATGCCAAATTGATTCTAGGGTTGGCAGGGCTGACCTGATGTATGAGGAGAGGTTGAGTTGGTTAGGATTGTGTTCACTGGAATTTAGAAGATTGAGGGGGGATCTCAGAGAAACCTATAAATTGTAATGTGACGAGACAGGTTAGATGCAGGAAGGATGTTCCTGGTGGTAGGGGAATCCAGAACTAGGGGTCAAAGTTTAAGCATAAGTGGGACTAAAATAAAGAGAAATTTCTTTACCCAGAGAGTGGTGAGCCTCTGGAATTCACCATCACAGAAAGTGGTTGAGAACAAGACATTGTGTTTTGAAGAAAGAAGTAGATATACCTCCTTGAGGCCACAGGGATCAAGGGATATCAGTTGGGGAAACGGGATTAAGGTATTGAGCTTGATGATCAGCCATGATCATATTATATAGTGGAGCAAGCTCGAGTTGAATGGCCCATTCCTGCTCCTACCTTCTATGTAAAGATGTAGATTCTGCTACTAATTACTACAGTATGTTGAACAACATACTATGACTAAACAACTGCACCTCCCAGTCGCGAACCATTTCAACTCCCCCTCCCGTTCCTCAGACAACATGTCCATCCTGGGCCTCCTGCAGTGCCACAACGATGCTACCCGAAGGTTGCAAGAACAGCAACTCGTATTCGGCTTGGGAACCCTGCAGCCCAATGGTATCAATGTGGACTTCACAAGCTTCAAAATCTCCCCTCCCCCTACCGCATCCCAAAACCAGCCCAGCTCGTCCCCACCTCCCTAACCTGTCCTTCCTCCCACCTATCCCCTCCTCCCACCACAAGCCCCACCCCCATCTCCTACCTACTAACCTCATCCGGCCCCCTTGACCTGTCCGTCCTCCCTCCCTGGACTGACCTATCCCCACCTACACTCACCTTTACTGGCTCCATCCCCGCCTCTTTGACCTGTATGTTTCCTCTCCAACTATCTTCTCTATGCATCTTCTATCCACCTCCCCCTCTCTCCCTATTTATTTCAGAACCCCCTTCCCCTCCCCCATTTCTGAAGAAGGGTCTAGGCCCGAAACGTCAGCCTTCCTGCTCCTCTGATGCTGCTCGGCCTGCTGTGTTCATCCAGCTCTACACCTTGTTATCTATGACACCACATAGCGTGTCTTACTACTTTCATTATTGGCTATTGAAAGAATCATTACCTGCCTTAAGCACACTACTGTAATGGTAATGTATTTTCGACTTCCCTTTCCCAAAACATTATCTCGTTTCTTTCACTCTTCATTCACCCTCCCATCCTTTTGGTGGTGCATGGGCATCCTTCTCTTTCTCCATCTTGTTTTTCATTTTCATTCCATAATTCCTTCTAACGTCTCTTTTCGTAGTCTGTTCCTTTTTAGAACATTGCAATCCAGTTGATGTGCATCTTTCTCAGTCAATAAAAGGGGGAAGATTTGCATTTATATAACAATTTTTATGATCTTAGTGCTTCAAAGTGCACTGACAGCCAATAAATGGCTTTTGAATTGCTATTACATATGTAATGTAGCAAATAACAATTTGATAATGATCAATTTTTTTTATTGATGGTGCTAAATGGATATTGATTAGGGAAACTTCCCTACTTCTTTACTGACATGTTGTATAACAAATCAAATTATGTTCATACAAGGTAGACAAACAGGAGGCTGGAAGAACACAGCAAGCCAGGCAGCATCTGGAGGAAAGGAGCAGTCAACGTTTTGGCATTACCCTTCAGGACTGGATG